TCCCTAGTTGTGGTCTTTCAAACAGGCCTCTTGAAGTTTACCAAAGCTCTCATTTAGACCCAAAACATTTCTGGGGACTAGAATTACAGAGAGAGTCCTAGTGTTTATTTGACTCAGTGATGATTGGTATTAAGCTTATTCTCTCCTGGGATATAAGCTCTATTTATGTGTTTTCAATGATCTAACTTTCATTTTTACTTACAAAGTATGAAAACTAAAAGGTGGTGCTTTAAAGTTATGTTAAAAGCTAAGTTATAAAAGGGGTCTCGCTGGCCCTGAATCAGACACCACACTGTGGTTCTCAACATCTTGAAGCCTTCTTTATTTGAAACAAATTTGAGGCTGGAATTACTCCAGCTATTTCCTTTCCCCGTGTTTTCCTCTATGCTACAGAAGAATAGTGTTACTTGGTGCCACTAGAAAATAGCTGATTCTCTTGGATTTCCGGTTGCCTTTATGGGCACTCTACTTTGGTCCCTCTTCAGGATGACTTTTCCCCAGTCTCCTCCTGCCTGGGACTCTTAGGAACCCAAGGTGTCCTGTACCCTCCCCTCAGGGCATTGGTACATGGGAATCTCTGCATTTTACTTCCGCCATCAGGCTAGAGCCAGCTTTCTGCCAACCTCTGGCAAAAAGAATTGGGCCCTGTTTCACCTTTCCCCACCTCACTTGAGACAGGTTTTTCTAGACATCCAGGTTAACCACAAACACTATCTTTCAGTTCCGCCCTACACTTCCAAAGCTACAACCCCTTTTTGCTCCCCTACTTAGATTTCTTTCTTTCACAGTACTCCCTTTTAAACTTATTTTCTGACAAAACTCTCAGCATTGCATCTGGTTAATACCACACTGCAGTAAAACCTAACCTCTGTTGCTAATGAGGCTACCCTGACTTCCTTCCTGAACTCTACACTCTTATTTCCAAATATATGATCAACAGTTCCCTTGCATGTGTTGCTGGTACCACAAACTCCATTGTCTTCCTGTGTAAGTTTGCTATTCCTAAAGATTTCCATTTTCAGTTAATGGCGTCACGATTTGATTCATGTTTGTTTCTTACACCCTTGTCTAATCAGGTACATTCTACCTACTAAGTTTCCTTCTTATTAATTTATTTTCCTCTCAATTCTCCTGGCATTGAGAATTCTCTCAGTTCTCTCTGGCCCTAGCAGGCAGTCTTAGTCTTTCTACTTTCAAGAGAGAGAGAGCTGAAATATAGCCACAACAATCCAATTAAGCCAGAGTCGAAACTATAATAAGAATAAGAGATTCAGCCTCTCTGTAGGTTTTAATTTAGGACTAAATATTATTTCCACAAAGATTTTTAGAATAAGTTAAATTAAACCTGATAGAAATCTGAATCGTAATCACAGCTTTGCAACCACTGTAAAGAAAAGAATTATGTTAGGAGGTGGTATAGCAATAATTTTTAAAGGAAAAATGTTCATTATTTTATCATGGCCAATGAAATGTCAGTTCAAATCACTTGATGTTATTGTAGTCCTATTATTTCAGTGAAGTAATGAGATAAATAATAAGAAAGAATATTATGGTGTCAGGTGGTTCAGACCTAGCCCTTTCCCTGGCTGTGTGACCTCAGAGAAGTTCCTTGTTCTCTCTGAGGTGTAAGTCTTTCATTTATAAAAAGACAGGATTAACCTAGACGAGCAGTTCTCACACTGTGTTTCAGGAGCACTGTGGGGGTTGGAAGGTATTGGCAAGCAAGCTGGTCTCTGTATACAATCCCTCTTCCAACCCCTATCTACTCCCCTTACTCTCTCTCTCTCTCTCTCCAGAAAAATTCTGTTTAAATGTTTTACATATTGAGCTATCTCTCTTCCTTTTGAAGAAAATATTATTTGAACTAACCCCTTCCTTAAAAAAAAAAGCCTCTCCACATTAGCTTATTTTTATGGTTGCTTCCTATGCTAAAGCCTAGGGATCTAAATTACAGGTTGTTTTTTTTTTTTAATTCTTACAAAAATGATTACATATATGGACCATTTTAAAACTCTTGTCCTTGCATGTAATGTTGTAGAATTTATCAGAAATAGCCAGTTTTTCACATACTGAGGGCTGGAGGAGATTCCAGGAACGAGACAAGATAGGACTTGTGGTCCATTGCTAAGCACTTTTGCCAGGTGTGAGTACCAGGAAACTCCTGTTATATATGCTTCAGAGAAACAGCTTCCTTGGAAGTTTCACCTCTTCTCTTTGCCCTCCTCTGAGCTACCCTTGCACTTTATTTCCCTCTTTAGATGTAAATTCAATTCAGCATGCATCTGGTGAGTGCCTACTCTATGTAAGGCATTTTCTATGTTAGTTTTATTTATGTCAACAGCTTATTTTCCCTCCTGAATGGCCACCTCTTTGATGGGAGCCTCCCTGCTTCATCTCCTTCTTATTTCTATGCCTAGCACAATGCTTTGGGAATTCAACACACAACAGACTTTTTTTTTTTTTTTTTTTTTTTTGAGACAGAGTCTAGCTCTGTTGCCGGGGCTAGAGTGCCGTGGCGTCAGCCTAGCTCACAGCAACCTCAAACTCCTGGGCTCAAGCGATCCTTCTGCCTCAGCCTCCTAAGTAGCTGGGACTACAGGCATGCACCATTCCCAGCTAATTTTTATATATATTTTTAGTTGTCCAGATCATTTCTTTCTATTTTTTAGTAGAGACAGGGTCTCGCTCTTGCTCAGGCTGGTCTCAAACTCCTGACCTTGAGCGATCCACCTGCCTCGGCCTCCCAGAATGCTAGGATTACAGGCGTGACCCACCGCGCCCAGCCACAACAGACATTTTTGATTGAAAAAGTGAAAAAGTAATCATATTGGGAGTGGACTAATCTTTGAAAATCCTTCAATAAAAGTATGATTCAATATTAACAGCTATAATTAATTTGCTAAGTTTTATATCACTTACACCCTTAATACTTATATTATTTTTTTAACATTGATATTTTGTCAGGTTTGATGAAGAACAATGTCATACCATTCATGGCCTATAAATATTAGGCAATTTTTCATCCTTGAAACTCTGAGATATTTAAATTTTGAAAATTCTCACTGAGTTTTGGGTTCTTTGCAATTATAGGTTAGAGTCTGTGGATACAGAAATCTGAGCACTCACAAAGTTATTATTAAGTTTTGACATTAAATAACTCCATTATTAAAGTTAAATTTTAATTTTACAATTAAGGTATTCCTTTTGGTCAGATGGAAGGCATTAAGGTAGTCAGTATACACCTCAAAACTACAGTGGAATAAATATATATCTCATACAAGTTCAGTATTTTTCCCGATGTCAGAAACGGTAAGAATAGAAAGAAGAATGTACCACATGCTGTGTTCTCTACTCCTCATTATCAACTGATCAGAAATAACATGAAATGTAACCTCATTATGTGATTTTTACTATAACTTAAAGCAACAATTTTGAGCTGTGTAACACACCCAAAGTTCCACTCAACTACTATTTCCTGCACTGAAACAGTCAATGCCAACTTCCATAGGCATTTATTAAATGTTATGAAGGAATGCATATATAATTTCTTTAATACAAAGCAAATTTATACTTATAATTACATGGTTTTCCATTTTGTTTCCTAGTATTTTCCTTATTGGTAGACATACTATGGTTTTAAAATGCAATATTTCAGAATCTTCTTTATCACATCATTAGTCAACCAGTTTTAAGGAATTAGTGATAAAATATCAGATGCTCTTCATCTATATTTTAAAGGTTGTATAGTATTGCTAGAGATTTAATACTGTTTTAAATTTGGAAAAGCTAAAACTAGTGAAATACTTTAATTTTTAAGTGATTGGTTATTTGAAATATTAATCATATTGTAAGAAAGCATAGAAAAGAGTAAGCAAAATAACAAGGGCAATGTGTGCCCAAAATAAGTATCAATCCGTTGAAAATTGAGAAAGTCAACCAATTAACTGGCTCTATTACCTGTACTTTGCTAAGCAGTCAACTTGACTGACTCTTCTGAATGAACTAAGTCTCAGACTGCAAGGAAAGCAATCACATAACTGTCAATCATTTAGTTGCAAAGATTTATTTCTACCAGGTTTCAATAAGATTGTGTTTTATTTTGGCCTTCATGGTACTAAAGGCTTATGGGACCCGCTTCTCTGTACTACTAGTAAAAATCATTCCAATCAAGACAATCTGCAATTTAATGGAGAGAAAACCAAAGAACCATAAGCACTCACTTAAAAGAAGAATATATATTTCGTGACATAAATATCAAATAATAGCCAGCTGGGATCTTGAAATTATAACCTTGGGCTAAGTATGTTTAAAATTAATTTTGATTATTTATATTGATGATTCTTAACTAGAAGGCAGCAGGCATGTCCTCTATCACTAATGTCAGTGTGCTTTATCCCTAAGGGACACATCCCTCAGGTATATTGGATTGGGTTGAGAACCACTAGTGTAGACAATGAATATAATTGCATTTACCAATGGGGGAAATAAAAAAATATTTCTTTAATATAAAAATATATAAACCAAGAACTTTCAATACGTCAAAATAAGATCTAATTGTACTATGGATGTCCAGTCATATCTGGCATGATTGAAATATTTGAACATGCCGATGAGGTTTTTTTGTATAACACTAGGGTAATGGCCATGTGCACACTTTCAAACCACCCAACTAAGCTCCTGCCAAAACAAATCAGAACAATAACAACAGAACTAAACTACAATATCACCAGTACAGCTATCTGTTATTCACCAGTGGTAATTTTATGATTGGCACAGTGGGAAAGACATATTGGGTACTTGATAAATATTTGTTGAATTCACAAATTGGATTGAATCGGGGTAAAATTAATTAGTTACATCTGTAGTTGAAATTTCATTGTGAATTTTAAAAACAGCTAATTTTTTATGGCTCAGTGCTCCCATGAATCTTATGATTAGAAACAATGATACAGTGATAAACAGTTTGCACTGATTGCCTTGTTTTATTTGTGTATTTACAGGCAAATGGACACAGTTTTGTACATATGGAACATGAAAAAGCTGTATTACTACTGAAGAGTTTCCAGAACACAGTAGACCTAGTTATTCAACGTGAGCTTACTGTCTAAATATTTTTTATAAATAGTGAAGATACGTCTAGCCAGACCTAATGTTCAAAAATAAATTTATACATAGAAACAAATTTTGCCAATTGCTGGACCAATGGCAAACATTAGTGCCAAATGTATAATACTATATGTTAGCACTGATCATCCTTAAAAAATGTTAACTCTATAAATATGATGTTCATGTGGTTATGTATTAGTTTTAATTGTCAGCCTCTGGCTGTGCATTGGTGCAGTTTTGTTTTTGTTTTTGTTTTTTTAATCAAATAAGTTTCCTCTCAAAGTGGATTTCATATAATTTCGGAGCACGGAAGCACACACAAGCTCTTTACGAATTCTGCTCTCCATCAGAAACACTGCCTCAAAGTTGTATATGCCTTTATATAGAAAATACAAATATAAAGAATTGTAATTCCCATAAAATATTTCTAGCACAAGGTATATGTTGGCATATATACAAAAACAATATAGATGAAAACAATATTTTCATAAACTAAACATCTCGGATTGAGAAAGAAAATATATCTTAAAATAAGACTTTACTATATTGAATCTTTTTCAATAAAAATTACATGATAATGCCTTATGAAAGTAACTGTACATATGGTATAAAGTGTTTATATTTGGTTCCATATTCATTTGCTAAATTCTCATAACAGAGTGAAATATTTCATAAATTAGCCATTTATCTCTGGGACCCGAATAAAATACAATAAACTAATTTGTTCAATGCCTTTAGCATTTAGCCAATTACCAAACATGCAGAGTTTAGAAACAGACTAAAAGTCATTGTAGATAACTCTTTTTCACCACAAATTTAAGCAGTGGATGATGGGTGGCAGGAAAGGTATTGCTTTATTTCTTTCAAGTTTATGTTGATTATAAACTGTAGCCCCTGTAATTTCTTTACTTGTAAATGTGGAATTTATTTGTGTGTTGCTTAATTTAATTTGCTACTTTTAAATCATTTAAAATGAGTTTTGGGAATTGACAAAATTTATCATTAAGAAAGACTGTTGTCAGAAAATTATGGTGGGTGATTAAAAAACTTTGGTATTTAAATATGAAACTTCAAATATAATTTCTCAGAGCTGTAGTTTACCTATATTATTAATTTTGATGCCTAATTTTGTGGGCAGAAATAGATAAAATACTTTTTTTCTAAAAAATGTGTTAAGTCATATAAAATTCTGAATGCTTTCTCAGTGGAAAGAAAGATAAGCAAAGTTAATGTAGAATTATTTACTTTTGCATTGAAACTATTTTCCTCCATAAATAATCAAAATTCATTTTATTATCCTTTAAAAATATTTCTCTTTTATATTAGTCATTAATTTGATTAAAATATTAATTTAAAATTACAGAATAATTTCCCAGTTGATTATATGCATTCTCTCATATTTCCACATCTTTCTTATGTTATATAATTAATTTACTTTACATGCTAGTGTCTCAAGTATTCTATTAGTATTTTCACAATAGTATCACATATTGATATCACCAAAGCTCTGAGAATAATATTTGTAAGTTAATTGTTTTATGGGGACATTGAAAATATTGTATTTTTGTAGGGTCTATTAAAATGAGTGTCACTTATTAGAAGTACAGTAGTATTTTTTGGCAATAGAATTTGTCACTTGAAGGCAAATGATACTTCACTTTATAGATGATGCACTAATTTTGATGTTGCTTTATGTCAGGGTGACATTATATCATGATTTTATAGGGTTTGACAATTAGCTAATGATTAAATGATTGGCCTACTTAGTATGTTTCCCAGAAGTAACTTTTAAATGCATTTTAATATATTGAGAGTTTCTGATGAGAAATGTCTTTCAGAGCCTAATTTTCTTTGTCAAAAACTCATGCCAAGCCACTGTATACAGATATTATAGGATGATCATCATTAACCAAGATAGAGGTCATCGTTGGCCTCACAAGATCACTTAAACAAATAATAAACTCATAGGTGTAGTTTGGTGGCAATGAAATATCTCAGATCATCCCGTCAGTTTTGTTTAATCTTTTATGGGAGAGGTGGGAGAAGAGCCAGATACTGCCCCAAGTCTTTTTCTTATGTCAGGTTCCCACATCAAACCCAAGGCTTCAGGAAATGCTTCTGAGGCACACAGCTGAGAGAATCACAATCCTAGCAAACACTTCTGCCACTTCTGATGTGACAACATTATCTTGAGCCAATGCTTTAATACTTCCTATTCTGCAGTTCAGAAATGAGGAAAGAGAAAAGGGATCTATGACCAACTGAAAGGGAAATCTGAAATGCCAAAGCACCTCATTATCAATTGCACTGTCATGTGGCATACTGAGAACAGGCAGGTAATAATGAAAAGAGGCATTTTTTTTTTTTTTTTTTAGGTTGGCTGAATAGAGCCACTAATCCCTTGAAGGGAAAAGATCTAATTGATTCTGTAGGTGACAAAACCCAGTAATACATTGATTTTTGATTATTGACTTTTTGCAGTAACTGGTTTTGCTACCTGAAAATAGAATCTGGTTCATGTAACAATAACAAAAATAGTCAAGGGTGTGCTTTTTTAAAAAAAGAAAAATCAACAGCAACAAAAAGGAATGGAATTCATGATGGCTCCAACAGACTCTACCTCTTGGTCTTTGATTTTAATTGGACTTCTTCTGCTCGGGAAGCTGTTTATATGTAATGGGTCAGTAAAATCTAATGGAGGGGACTGAGAAAGGTTGGAGGTGGAAAGAACAAGCACTGAAAATCATTAGTAGAATTGTCACAGATTTTGCAAGATATAGACATTACTGGACAATTTTAAAAACTACTTACAAGGCTTAAAATATTTTGTCATAAAAGCTCTGTTAATAATAATTCCAGCCTTCCAGACAAAACGAGTTATCTAAATATACATAACTTCAAAATGTAAATGTAAAATATAAATGCATTTTTGAAAAACAATGTTCAAAGTCAGTATTACAAATATTTACATTGTGCTAATTTATTGCTCATTGAAGCCTATAGAAGATACATGTCCCAGTTACTTAGAATTGTAATTACATAAACGTCAAACAATCTCAGTTATTTCTAGACCTTTCCTTGGATCACCACCTTCAAGATGAAAAACAGCTTTAAAGAGGGAGTGGCACAACAACATAAATTTGCTTTTAAGAGGATTGCACACATATCACTAATATAATTGCTTATTTAAAAATAGAACTGAAATATCAAATAACAGGTGAGCTAAAGAGAAAGAATATTCAAAAGTGAAAAAACATTGAAAAAATTATATTTATGTATTCAAATATTAAGTGAAAAGTATCTGAATTTGCCAAAATGATTAGATGAAGGAAACCAAAAAACACTTTAATTTTAATCATGAAATCTATTTAATATCTCTACCACAATTTAAAGCTTTGGAAAACATAGTGTGCTTGACAACTAGTCTTTCCATTGGCTTTTATTGCTGTCCTTAATCAATTTCTGCCCCTCATTGTCACACAGATCAAGAATGTCTATTCTGATAAATACACTCTTATCAAGAGCCAAGAGTACAATGTAACCAGATAAAAAGCTATATTGATATAGGATTACCACTCTAAGTCTTTGGTAAATTCAATTAGACAACATCTTTGACTGACTCCTGATATACTGACCAAAGAGCAGCCTTTTTGGAACACTGGGTCAGTAAAAAATTTGTACAAATAATGAAATCCAATACATTAAGAAGATGGGTCCTGTATCTAGTATAAAGAAAAGCAGAGTTGAAGTTCCACCTTAGCTCCTCTCACAGAAATGCTAAATCTTTCTGAGCTTAATTCAGTGTTCTGACTGGACTGGTGATATGTCCTCCCTTATGCTTATAGTTACCTGATCATCTGGGAATTAGGGGGAAACCTCCAGATTAGAGATCACTTACGTGAATGTTTTCCCTTAGCAATACAACCACCTCGCATTAAGAAAAGTATCCTGCCTTGGCTCAGAATATTTCCCCATCACCCAATGAGACCATACCACAAAACTGCATTAGCAAGAAAATGGAATGTGGGCTATGGACAAATAGATGTGCACCATGGAAAGCATGTGGGTTAATATTATAGAAGATCCTGAGTATCAGCTTTCCTATACATCTTTTTTGATTTAAACTATTCAGAGAACGTATTAATATTTTCCAAGACACTCCACTATATAAAACTAAGGTAGACGCAATCAAATTTTCCAGTTCTTTCTTGAAATTTCTGGGGGCATTTCTGTTTCTAGGATGTAAAACTGACCTCTCTTCATTGCTGCTGTCGCTGCTATAGAGCCATCCTCCAACTCCCCATGCTGTTCCAAGGCAGTGGATGTTTGCTTCTATCCTGCTGAAACAAAGATAAGATCCCCCTTCAGAGGTCTAGCTGTTTGGAGATCCTTGGGTATCAGCTGATGATGGTTCCAGCTTCCAATCTGGGAGGATTTTCTTGGTTGATCAAGGAACTTGTAGTAGTAACATTAACCAAGGCCCAAAGGTGGAGCGCGTACCATGTTACTGACAACAGCAAACAAAACTTGTGTGCAAGGGTGAGGATGGCAATACCTTAATAAAACCGTGTTTCCACTTCTGTTTTTAAAATGTTGGATTTTGCCAGACTGCAGGACTTTCTCTAACTTCCCAGCTACTTGTTACTGGGATAGGTTCCAGTGTTCCTTGCCTTTAACACTGTCTGCAAGAGAAGGGTTTGGAAACACTCTCCTGTGAGGGTAAAAATTGTGTGGCTTCTACTTCGGAGAATTCAGAGATTTTTGAAAAACTGAGAGGAAAAGTCCATTCTAAATTCTTATTTTAAAACATACAGTACAAATATAGAAATATTGAATCCCTTAGGCTTTTAACTATGTGATTATCTTAACTGCCCTGAGAGCAGTTCTATGAGAAGTAAGGAGAAAAGACTGAGAGGGGGGAGATAATTTACTGGTTCCAACTTTAGAGGCAGTTTTTTTCAGCTGGTAGAGTTTCCCTGGTTGGGTTCTGTGCAGGACAGTC